GGGCCATTCACAAAGGATGTCCGAGCCGAGGGGGGAGGGGGTTTGGAAAATCAGGACAAACTCGGACATAGGGGGGAGGGGGGTTTAGCAATCCGGATGTCCGAAATTTAAAAAAATTCAAAAACAAATTTCTTTTTCCCTCTATTTTGAGCAGTCCTTCCCATTGTGAAATTGGCATTTTGACTATGCGGTTAACACTAGATTTTGTTTTAATTAGTAATTTATATGTTTTTGTGTTCACATTTACAGTTATAAAAAAGTTCTAAAAGTAAAAAAGGTTTTTACTCTTGATGTATACAAGGTTGCGTGAGTTTTTGCGAGGCATGGCGGATGTCCGGGGGGAGGTCACTAATTCGGACAATGCCGGACAAGGGGGGGAGGGGGGGGGTCTGAAAATCCATCATTTGGCCGGACATCCTTTGTGAATGGCCCCTAATCATAGTTAAGGATTTAACTACAGTGATTAACGCTAATCGGCCCTAGATCACTTCCCGCACGACCAATCATATAGTTAACTTTTGGCAAGCAGTTTCAATGGCAATGATCCATGCAACCGATAAGTTACTGGTCCCTATTGTTTAAGCATGTCTGATACTATAAACTTGGTGCCATAAACTTTTAGTCTGCATCAGACACTACGCGACAATTTATCACAGGAAAAATTCTTTCAAGGTAGGGCGTGCTTTCCAGTCAGGGTACTCTCTAATGATTTGATGCAGAACAAGTGGGAGGGTTGGAAATAACTGAAGGAAATATTCTTCAATAGATGTAGCATGTCCCATAGCTTTCAATGGTGGACGTGGCTTGTCGCCCCAATGCTGACGAACATTTCTTATGAATCGAAGACAATGCGTGTATCGGCTACCGTCAAACTTGGATGGGGGGGCACCTCCTGCACAAAATGTGTTGAGGTCATGTGGATCGATGACTGCTTTCCAGTCATTTGGTAACAATGAGCTTCGAGATTTTGACGGATGACAGCTGTCTAGCTCTCTGGACACATCACAGGGATCTGGGTTGACACTCTTTATTTCAGGTTCGTTGCCCACAGCTTCTAAGAATTTAATCTGCCTTTCAGGAGACAGAAAGTAAGGGTGCTGCAAGACTTGCTCCACATATGGTCGTTGATCTACCTCCCGGGCCAACATCTGAGCTAGAAGATCTTTCACCACAGGCGCACAACCACCACTCAACTTTTTCAAACCAACTGGGTCGTCTTCATGCAAATTTACCATTTGCTGTAGTATTCCTTCACCAAATGGATGCTCTCCTTTGGTGTAGATGTAATATGCTAACATACCTGCTACTTGGATATCTGATTGCCGTTTCCACTTGGGCTCAACTATTGGTGCATGTGAAGGGTACCATATATCCCAGTTAGTAGATTCATATGCCGTCCAGCCTATTGAACCACTAGTATTGCTACTGGTATGGTGTGTAGTTGCACCTGTAAGGAAAATAAAATCAGTGAGCTCTATATATATCTGGGGCAGGAACTTAATTCATTCGGCCTATATGAGAAAAGCGAAGCCAAGAATCGAGATCCAATAGCTGTGAAGATCGTAAACAGTTTTAATACTATTTTTTTAAAATTAATTCCAGTTTCTTCTAATAGACCGTATCGCTAATCAAATTATCAGTTCATAAAACCATAGTGTTAGTCGAAATACAAAATTTCTGCACACTCCTTGCCAACCACACAGAAAAAACAATAGAAAGGGACTGGAACTGACATCCAATCATTGAACTATAAATAACTGGAAGGCTAAGTCAGGGGGGGGGGGAGTTGAAGCCGTGCTTGAAGCTTTTTTGTAGGTAGACCCAGTACTTTTTAAATTTTTTTTTCAAAATATGCACATTTTTCGATCAGAAAAATCTTGCCCCAAAATATTAGTTATACTACCGAATTTAATTTATATCAGTAGTTTTATAAATGAATTTAATATTCGCAAAGCAGACAAATCACGTATTAGCAAAAAAATACGAAAAAAACACGGCCATAAGCATGAACGGTCAGAAAAACCGCGCGTTTTAGGCTGCTTTTTCTGAGTTTTTGGAAGTTTAAGATAAAACTAAGACGTCATACCTCAGGAATTATTTAAACCCATGCAAAATACATCTGTATGCGAAGTTTCAAGAAGATTGAAAGTTTTAAGGTCGAAAAAAAAGCATTTGAAAATTGACAAAATATGCCATATTCAAAACGCTCATAGTGGCCAACAAGATGCCGATGACGAAAATAACATCACTTGAAAAACGCCAATTTATTTATGTTTAAAAGCGACTAAAACAAGGACTAAAAGCTCAGGATCAATAACAATACCTAGGGTTTAGTACAACATAAATTTTGGGACTGTCAAAATGTTTTATAGTATATATTTTTGAGTTGAACGGCGAGGTTTCCTTCGGCACGTCCAAACTTTCGTCATTTTTTCAAAATACAAAAGCAAAACTCCTTACTTTTTGCTGCAGAGAGATGTAAAACAGTTGGAACTAATCGGAAAACCTGGTTTAAATCCCAATCATTGTTGTATTCCCATGGAAAAAGTGTTTTTCTTGCAAATTTTTGCTCGAAAACAAACTTCTGGCAGAATTTTTTTCACTCCTCGAAACTCTCGTTAGTCTTTTTGAAAGCTGATTTTCCCGCGCGCCGGCTTCAACGAATCATAGACTTTCATCATAGGAGTTAGCCTTCCAGTTATTTTTAGAGTTCACTGCGTCCAATAGCTCTTCAATATCCGCCATCTTGGCTTCAGTTTTTTGGACTGGAGTTCTTGCTCCAGATATGGTATATATGATGATGATGATGATGATGACGATGAATATTTAGTCAGGTAACCTACTCGCCAAGGCGAGTACAATATCGTAAAAGTGATACAATGAAAATTACAAAGGTTAAATAAAAATAAATCTATCACTAAGACTAAATACGTTCATAGTAATTCTAAAAATATGTAAATCACTAAAAATGTGTTTTAAATATAGCTAAAGAGTTACTATTTCGAACATCATTGTTTAAGGAGTTCCAATCGTCAGCAACCCTGATAAACAAGCCTCTGTTTTCCCCAATTAGTCCTAACACGGGGAAGATGGAGGTTGTTTTTTGTTCGAGTGTCGTAGACATGAAGCATAGCATTAGATATAAAATTAAAATCAGAATCAATCAGTTTGTTAATTCCTTTATATGCTACGCTACAGCGGTGAAAAAATCGTCTTTCAAATAAACGTTTCATATTAAGACAATTAAGTGCTTCGGTGGCTGAGCTTCTTGGAGGCAGATCCAGCATAATTTTGGCTGACTTGTTTTGTAAAATTTGCAAATGTTCCATCAAAGTAGAGTTGTTTTTATCACCCCAGATTATGTCCCCATAATCAAATAGAGGTAAAACCAAAGAGTGATATAGGATAAGTCTCGTACTAAGAGGTATAAGATGTTTAACCCTACAGATAACACCAAGCCTTTGATTTATTTTCTTAATAACACTGTCCACGTGCTCGTCCCAAGTCATGTGTTGATGTAAGGTTACACCAAGGTATTTGGAAGATTCCACTTTCTCAACAACATCATCATTTATGCCAATTTTGAAAGAGATATGGACTTTGTTCAATTTTTGAGGACTCCCAAATAGCATAAATTTATACTTCGGGAAGTATTTAATGCTAATAAGTTTTGATTAAACCAATTTGAAACAATAACCACGTCTGAATTTAGAGTATCATTGACATCGTCTGGTTTTCTAGACGAGAAAAATAATAACCGTGTCGTCTGCGTAAAAGACAATCTTGCTCGAGAGATTACATGATGTAAGATCATTCACGTATATCAGAAAAAGCAGGGGCCCCAAGATGCTTCCTTGAGGCACACCAACTCCAATAGGTGCAACTTCAGACATTTCCGAATTAATATTTGTAACTTGTGTTCTACATTCCAAGTACGATCGGAACCAATCAGTAGTATTCCTCAAGCCAATAGCGTTCAATTTGTTTAACAAGACTGTGTGGTCGATGGTGTCAAAGGCCTTTGATACAGTAGGTCTAAAAACAGAGCACCAGTGAGATAGCCATTGTCCATTTTCTCAAGAATGTTGTCAGTAAAGTGAGCCAACGCTATAGATGTTGACAACTTCGGTCTAAAACCGAACTGCTTCGATGTCAAGATTTTGTTAACAGTTAAGTAATTATATAGTTGACAATGAACTGCCCTTTCAAGGATCTTGGATACAGTAGGTAAAACCGTTATCGGTCTATAGTTGTTAGGATCAGAACGGTTCCCTGATTTAAATAATGCCGTTATTTTACCGAATTTCCAAGACAACGGAAAATTTGAAGACTCAATAGACCGATTAAACAAGTTCGTCAAGCCTTCGGCAATAACATAAGCACCGTCCTTCAGAATCGGGGCATTGATCTTATCCATACCAACTGCCTTATTAGGCTTCAGTTTTTTTATATATGGAGCTCACAGATTAAAATTTACCCATTTAGTAGTAAATCTCCCTTCATTAGTATCTATAATCACTTTATCTTACAGTATGCCTTATGTCAGCTGATTGTTTTATTTGTACTTGATTCACACAAGCCTGGAAATAATTTTTGGGGACCTGCCTGTCAAAATGACCAACACCAATGAATTTGTGCCTGTCGTGAAATAAAACGTACCGGTCATTGTACCGGTCTGCCAAAAACTTAGGATACGAAATATGCAATGGTTAAAACCACTAAATACATAGAGATTACTGCATGGTTGGTGAGCGTGTACGATTTTTAAACACAAGTTGTGAAAGATTGCAAACGAACCAGTGAGTGAAGCGAACGAGTGAGTTTAGCAATCTTTTAGAACAACTGCATAATGAAAATCATACAAGCGAACCAACCATGCAGTAATTTGTTTATTATATACGTCTAGAGAAGGATAAAAACTTATGAAAGGCTCACAGCGAACAACACGGAAGCGAAATATTGAAGTCTTAAAACAGATTTTTTACAGTTTATTTGTGCACATCATGCATTTCATCAATTTGACTTGTCCGTGCCCATTTACTTCATGGTTTAGCCACACCTATGGCCACACAAAAGCGTTTGATGGTGCGAAATCTGAGCTAATCCACTTTTTTAATGTGCTTGATTTTAACGTTCTGTCAAGTCTTTTTTCGTTGTAAAAGATTAGCTAAATCTGAACTTGTTTCACTAGTAGTTACTGCAGATGTTTCACTAGTTGTTGTTGTGAATGTTCCCCGGCCCTGGAATTACCTTCACTTTCATTACTTTTTAATTTTTTTCGCGGTTCAACAAAACAATTCCCGCCTAACTCGCAAATGACGTTTCCACTTGGAAGGAAGTTTGACCATCATTCATCACGATCGGGGCGAATAAGAAGGAATTTTCATCACAGTGGAAACACTGCACAAACATGGCGTCGCGTAAGTATCCGTGTATTTAAATTAATAAACCGGGTAATTTTAAACGTTATAGCACAAATAATAGAGAATTTGTCGACAAGAAGGTTATTTTAGTTTAGTTTAACCACTGAAATGAGCGCTGGACAAAGTTACAGACACAATCAAATTTGTACCTGTCAAAACACTACAAATCGCGTATTTGTGCCGGTGTCACATCGGACTTGGACTCTCCGCGGATATGGACCCCCGGTCCATATCAGCCAGCGGATTCAGACCTCTACGGTACATAATATGCACCCCCTTCCGCGAAATTGGAACCCCCAAAATTCACAAAAAGAAGAAATCTTGAAACAATTTGCAGTTGAATGTGCCTGGAAATTTAGGCGTCGTTTAATTTAAATTATGATAACTAATAGCATGACTCAACTATCTTGGAATTTGCTTAATAACGAAAACATTCAAGTTATTGAGATGCTAA